CAGCCTCGACCTGCTAGGCTCCGGCAATCCTTCCGCCTCAGCCTTCCGAGTAGCTGGAACTACAGGCGCGGCGCTACCATACCTGGCTCATTTTGATTTATTGTAGAGATGAGGACTCGCCAAGTTGCCCAGGCAGGTCTCGAACCCACGGGCTCAGGCAATCCACTCACCTCAGCCTCCCAAAGGTGCGGGATTATAGGCTGAGCCACCGAGCCCGGCTGTATGTCTATTTTCATGTCGGTGACAGGTTATTGCCAGTTTGGGGCTATTACAAATACAGCTGCTGGGAATTTGATTGACATCTCACCAAATCTGTGGATCAAATTGCAGATAATCGACATCTTAACAAATTAATTCTTCAATCTATGAACATGATGTCTCTTCATTTATTTAGGTCTTTGATTTCAGCAAAGTCTTATGGATTTCCATGTAGAGATCTTACATGTGTTAAATATTTTACTTTATTGTGTTATTTGAACCAGAGTCTCACTCTGCTGCCTAGGCTTGAGTGCAGTGGCATGATCATGGCTTACTGCAACCTCTTGGGATCAGGTGATCCTCCCGCCTCAGACTCCTGAGTAGCTGGAACTACGGGTGTGTGCCACCACACCTGGCTATTTCTAAAATTTTTTTGTAGAAACAGGATCTTAGTATGTTGCCTAGGCGAGTCTCAGACTCCCATCTTGGTATCCCAACATGTGAGTATTACATGTGTGAGTCACTGCGCCTGTCTTGTTTTAAAAAAAAAAAAATTTACTTTTTGGAGTTGGCTTGCTCTGTCGCCCAAGCTATGGTGGTGCAGTCATGTCACTGCAACCTCAAACAACCTCAAAAAGTCAAAATATCCCCAAAAGATAGTTGGGCTCAAGCTATCCTCCTGCCTCAGCCTATGAGTGGCTGGTACTGCAGGTGCATACCATCAGGCCTGCCTATTTCATGCATTTTATTACTATTTAAAAGCAGTATGCTTTCTTTTTCCACTATGTTTATTGCTAGTTTGTTTTGTATGTTTGTATATTGACATTGTGTCTTTCAGATTTGCTGAATTCACTTAATCTAGTAGCCTTTATTATAAATTCCTAATGATATCTCGTGTATTTAATCATGTCATCTACAAATAGAGATGGCTTTACTTGTTCTTTTCCAAACTTATACCTTTTATTTTTTTTTCTTTCCTTAATGCACTTACTCGAACTTTTAATACAATGTGGAATAGAAGTGATGAGAACAGGTAGCTTTGTCTTATTCCTGATCTTAGAGGAGAAACATTCAGCCTGGAAATTTATTTTTATATAAGAAAATAATCTATACAGTCACATCAGGGATTTTTTGTAAATTAACAACAAAAAAAAGGAATCTAGCTTTTTGTCTTAAATGTTTGACCAATGGTCCCCAGAACTCTTTCTTGAATGATTCAGCCTTTCCCCATAAATATGAAAGGATACCATTACCATTTATTTAATTCTTACGTATATTTGGATCTGATCTGTATCAAGGTACTTCCTTTAAGCTGGGCACAGTGGCTCATGCCTATAATCCCAGCACTTTGGGAGGCAGAGGCAAGAGGATTGCCTGAGCCCAGCAGGTCAAAGTTTCAGTAGTTGTGAGTGTGCCACTGCACTCCAGCCTGGGCAACACAGACTCCGACACACACAAAAAAACACAAGATATTTTCTTTAATTCAGCATTTAACTTTGATGTAAAAGTATAATGGAAATTAGAAGATGAGGTTAGATTTTAATATGATTCCAGGCTTTGAAGATAAGCACCTAATAAGTGCTTTCCAAAGTGCAGGAGGAAACTCCAGAGGAAATGGAGAGAGGTGGGAAGTCAGACAGCTGACTGCTAGCTAGCATGGTGCTGTTCCAAAGAGCTTGTCTGAGAAAGGTCACTTTATTGCCGGAAAAAGAAGCTTTGTTAACCAACCACAGTTGGTAGATAGATCAGATGGACCAATTGTAGTTACCCCAAACACCAGGTGCCCTAGGAAAAAGGTATTGGGGAGATGGAGAAGGAGAACATGGTACTATTTGGAACTACCGTGTGAGGCTGTTGAGATAAGCATTGACTTGTGTTTGATTCTCCAGGCAAAGGCCAGGATGGAATTGGCAGCAAGACGGAGAAGACACTGGGTGACTTTGCAGCAGAGTACGCCAAGTCCAACAGAAGCACATGCAAGGGCTGTATGGAGAAGATAGAAAAGGTGAGCTTGTGGGAGCTCAAACAGCTGAATTTTATGGGTGACTTCCTCGGATGACATTGGCTGTCTCAAGAGAAGAGAAGAAATGGGGGATTCAGGGTGCTAGCTCAACAATAATAGGCAAAAGCAGAGTAAAGATGTTAGTACAGATTGGAGATCGCCGTGGCTTTTCTTCCAGACCGGTCTAGCCTTGCCTATTCATGATACACTCATTGTGTGTAGCTGCCTCTGATGTGAGGAAACCTGGGAGAGTTGGGAAAGCATTAACTCAAGGGGTCTCTTCTAGACTTCGCAGTGGCTAGGGGAAGGCTCTTTGTGTTTTGTGGGAGGATTAAGTTGAAGGAGTGTGTTTTCCCTGGTATGAGCCTCGAGCTTTCTTCTATTTAATCAGAGGAACTTCATTAACTGGTCTTTCCCACCAATTCTAGTCCCCGAAGGCTGGCAGCCAGTAAAATGAAATGAATGGATGGCCAGAGACATGGGTAGAAGAGAGGGCTTGTGCCTTTAGCCTCCTCACCCTTCTCTGATGTGACATGCACATATTAACTGATTCGTTTAAGGCATTTATTGAAGGTTTCTACCTCCTCAAGTTATCGTACAGGAAATTGAGATAAACCAGTGGGTATTTAAAAAGGAAAAACAGGCCGGGCGTAGTGGCTGATGGCTATAATCCCAGCACTTTGAGAGGTCAAGGTGAGAGAATTGTCTCAGCTTGCGAGTTCGAGACCAACCTGGGCAATTTGGCGAGACCTCATCTCTACAATAAATCAAAAAACTAGCCGAGCGTGGTGGCACGTGTCTGTAGTTCCAGCTACTTGGAAGACTGAGGTAGAAGGATCGCCTGAGCCCAGCAGGTTGTGGCTGCGGTGGCTAGGAGAGTGCCACTGCCCTCCAGCCTGGGTGACAGAATGAGACACCAACTCAAGAAGAAAAAGAAAAAAGAAAAACGTGCAGTTGCTAGATTTCCAGCTACTTTTAACCACCAGAAATTTAAGGCAGAAATTAGGGCCATCTTCACCTCCAGGGGTGTGCCAGAAGGTATGTACTTTTGGATTGCCTGTTTTACATATTGTCAGAGTTCTCTGGGTGTGGGTGATACAGGCATGGAAGAACTTTCCCAGAATGTCTGGCCTGGGGATTGTGAATCTGGACAGGCTGGTGGGACTGGGTTCTTACCTATGGGTTTATTATCCTTTCTTAGGGGCTGTCATGGAGACTAAAGAGTTTATTGGTGTGGGCAGCAAATCCCTGCTATTACAGTGTGCTGCGATGGGGGTGTTGTGCAAGGCTTTTCCCAGCACACTACAGCAGCTGTTTTGTGGGGTTTTTTTGAGTTGGAGTCTCACTCTGTTGCCCAAACTGGAGTCCAGTGGCTTGCTCCCGGCCACCGCAGCCTCGACCTGCTGGGCTCCGGCAATCCTGCCTCAGCCTTCCAAGTCACTGGAACTACAGGCACATGCTACCATGCCCAGCTGATTTTTGATTTCTTGTAGAGATGAGGTCTCGCCAAGTTGCCCAGGTGGGTCTCAAACCCGCGGGCTCAGGCAATCCACTCACTCAACCTCCCAAGGCGCGGTATTACAGGCTGAGCCACGGAGCCCGGCTTGCAGCAGCTGTTTTTAGGCCTGCCCCAGGTAGGCAGAAACATCTTCAGGAAAGTGTTATCACTCCTTGCTTATCCAGACAGGCAGGTAGGTAGCCAGCCATTTGGAATTCAAGGGATGCTGAGGCTTGAAGGTAGCACACAATACTTGGAGGCCTAAAGAGCCAAAACCTCCTGGCAGCCCGTGAGTTCTCAAGTTGCTGGGGCAGGCTATAGCTTGGGCTTGTGGGCTCTTGCTGACTGGCGCACAAGGTGTCCCTCTAGTGCTCACCGTCTTTCCTTGTTGCTCCCTTGGTACCATGTATGATTTTTTCTACAGGGCCAGGTGCGCCTGTCCAAGAAGATGCTGGACCCGGATAAGCCCCAACTGGGCATGATCGACCGCTGGTACCACCCAAACTGCTTTGTCAAGAACAGAGAGGAGCTGGGTTTCCGGCCTGAGTACAGCGCCAACCAGCTCAAGGGCTTTAATCTCCTCTCTGCAGAGGATAAAGAAGCCCTAAAGAAGCAGCTTCCAGGAGTCAAGAGTGAAGGGTGGGTGGAGAACCATGGGTGGGGGGGCCTCTGGGGGTTGGAGAGAGGCTTGAGGAAGGCCTGAAGTCCCAACAGTTTCCATACCACTCCTCTGCTGTCAGAAAGCCAGGGAGATGTAGACTGAGGGAAAAAGACAACAGAGTGGTGGGAGCAGGGGACGGAGTAGGGAAGAACTGCAGGGAGCCCCTGGGGGATGTTTCCACTGCCCTCTAAGACCTGCTTCCTGGAAGTCTGTTCCCCCTTCCAATATCTCACCTCTACAGACAAGCTAGTCCTGCTTTCCCACAACAGCCCATCAGACATTTAAAGCCTACTCTCCTACCCCATGGGAGTATTCCTGTTGCCCAGGTAAAAACCACGTTTTCTCTGACCCCCTTGTTATCTGTTTTCATATCCCTTTGGGGTCCTTGTAGACATGTTTGTAGAAGTATTCCTATTGTCTGGGTCTCTAGGAATGGTGCTGGGGGAATCATGACCATTTTTAGTTAGGGGTTGGGCAGTGGATATGTTTCTTGGCTTGTAGTTTAGCGTGGTTTAGGTCTTACATGGTGTTAAAATTTAGAATGGGCTGGGTGCAGTAGCTCATGGCTCCAATCTCAGCCCTCTGGGAAGCCAAGGTGGGAGGATCGCTAGCAACATAGCTAGACCCCATCTCTACCACAAAAATTAAAACTGGGCGTGGTGGTAAGTGCCTGTAGTCCCAACTACTCGGGAGGCTAAGCAGGAGAATTGCTTGATCCTAGGAGATTGAGGCTGCAGTGCATTATGATTATGTCACTGCTCTCCAGCCTGTGCAGCAGAGAGTCCCTGTCCTTTAAACAAAAAAAAAAGATTAGATTGGGAAGAACTATCAGTGACTATCTTGAGTTTGTGAACACCTCTTGCTCTCTCCTATTTACCCTCTGTTGATCCCTCAGCCCCAGTCTAGAGAATTACTTGTTATGAGAACACTAGGAGCCATGTGGCAGGGCCTGGTGCTCACCCTGCTCCCCGGACAATCACTATGGGTCATCATCATACATTACCTCAGTTCATAACATGCCATTGCAGCAGCATGTGTGACTCTGGAATGTGTAAGAAAACTGGAAAATCAGGCCCATAGATCAGAATGGCCTCGGGGCATTGCAGCATGTGATAAAGTTATATAGGTCAACTCACACTGATGCCATAATCACCACCAGAATGATGTGTTGGGCACATTTGGTATGCCAGGCATGGTGCTAAGCACTGTACTTGGGCTATCGCATTAGCTCAGCACCTCAGTTCTATAAGGAAGATGATATTCTTTTCCCTCATTGGCAGAGGAAACATGTAAGAGTTTGAACTCAGGTCTGTGTGACACCTGAGACTGACTCCTAAACACTGTGTCTGCTGTCCTGCCCTGTGTTTTCGGGGCAGATGATAGCCTCAGTGCTGTGTGTTTGCTTAGCCAACCGGGGCAAGCTGGTTAGTGGTACTCTGACTGTTACTTCTTGTCTGGGCTTTGCTTGGCAGCACAGCCACACCTCTGCAGACAGCCTTTTGGCCTTGGGAGCAGCCCTGGGTTTTAACTCGAAAGACCCAGTCCCTGGCACTTAGACTTTGTTTCTGCAATCCCTGCCTCTGAGCTGTGGGGTTCTAGCATAGTCTCGGCCAGAATCTTCCAGACCAAGAGATATATGAGTTTTGGTTTTTGTTTTTGTTTAATCTCAGATGGGACCTGAGCTATGAATCCTGTAATGGGTTTTTCCAGTTTTCTGGAGCCACCCGAGCCCCTTTCCTTGGCTGGCAGATATGTTCTGAAATGGATGAAGTCTCCTGCCCTCTCAGTTGGAAATACTGCCCAAGTAGACAGCATGCTCCTGAGAGCAAGTGGGGTGGAGGAGGGGGTGACAGATATGAGCAGGGTCTACAGAGAGGCGTTAAAATGACTATATCGAGTCATTGGATGGCAGATTTTTAATGACTTTGGTTTTTTCTCTTATATCCTGTATTCCAGAAAGAGAAAAGGTGATGAAGTGGATGGGATGGATGAAGTGGCCAAGAAGAAATCTAAAAAAGAAAAAGACAAAGATAGTAAGCTTGAAAAGGCCCTCAAGGTGAGGTCTAAGCTCTGTGTCTCCTTCCAACATCCTGTCTCAAATTTTCTTCCACATCCTGGGAAGAACATTCAAGGACTTGTGTCCCACTTGCTATGACCTTTAAGAATTCTGAAATTGATAGCTATCATTAAGTACCATGGCTTTTTTTTTTTTCCAGATTGTTTTCTTCTCTTCTCCCAAAGAAACTGTTTGTATTTGGACAAGAACCCACTTTAGACTAGAGATGCCCAACCTGCCACCCAGCTTGAGCATGAGCTGAACTGCTGTTCCCACCCAGTAGTTTCCTATGAGGACTGTAGAAATTCATGCTTCAGCCAGATTACTTATCCTTGTAAATTTTGCACCTCTGTGGTTGCTTGCAAATATCAGAAAATGAATATTAAATTTTGTTGTTGTTGTTGTTGAGTTGGAGTCTCACTCTCGCCCAGACTGGAGTGTAGTGGCCGTACCCGGCCACCGCAGCCTTGCCTGCTGGGCTCCAGCGATCCTTCCGCCTCAGCCTTCCAAG